TCAGGAGCCTCTGGCCTTTGTTAGTCTTGTATGTTTTTTTTTTAATTTTAGTTCATTTATATGTTTCGGAGTTTAGTGTGACGTCCATTTTCACTGGTTTGTTTAAGGGGCCAGCTGAAGCCCGCCTCCGGGTGCGGGATTTTCTCGCTGTGTTGAAGAGCAATTAGTGGCCTTGGGCTGTTTTCTGCTTTTTGGTCGGGTTGTTGTCTCTTTGAACCATTTCCCTTCTCAATTTGATTAAGAAAAACTTACAAAAAAGATAAGGTAGGCACTGTTGAAACAATTAGCAAAAAAAATTCTGTTGAATGCTTACCCAATTTTATTTTTTTAATTGACCATATATAGAACTTTTAGATTAAGAATACAATCTACATTACATCACTGTTATTCCGGATTGCCGTATACATATGGATCACATATGATACAAATTAAGTCTTATTTTTTGATGTTTCCAATTCAAATTCCTTTACATTTTCCCATTGCCATAGCAACATATTACAAAAACATCATAACTGATAAAAATGTGTTGTATATATGATTGGCAACGGTAACTTTATTTTGTATTTACACATTCAAAGTGTGAAGCTCAATGCCTATTGACATGGCCTCTTTGTTACCCTCTTACGTGTGACTGAATGGTTTTAAGTTTTTGTTTGTTTTTACTCCATCAAATAATAGAAATGACTGTCTTTACTTGAAAAAAATATAAGGATTATACAGCATATATTGGTTGAAAAGTGACATCTTTAACAATAGATCATTATAACTAAATAAAGTAATATATAATTGATGTATTAAGAAATTGGATGTTTATATAACATAATGTAAAAGATCATTTGGGCTTTTGTAAGACATTTACACAACAGAAGCAGCAGGTATAACTACACATCTTAATAAATCACATTTAAAGCACTACATCAGTTTTATAAAACTAGTGCATCGATCAGCATTTGTGAAAGATTAAAGATAAATACCTTTTCATTATATGTGTAAGAAAACAAGCTGAACAGAGTTCCAATGCCCCCTCCTTGCACATATTTTATCTGTCTAAAGTTGATTTTTTTTTAATTTCTTCAAGAAATGTAGGCTTGAGAGCGCTTACAGCGCATTTTTTAATAAAGAAAAAGAAGTGACAATACAAGATAAAATACAAATTGAAGAACAATAATAAAATCAAACGTACATTTTCAATTGATTTCTTAATATTAAAACAACAATTACTTTCTAACATAACTTTTGATTAATATTATATCATTTATATTAATTATCAAAGTTTTATTTAACATTTAAAAGTTCTAAAGTCATGAACTTACCATTTAAGGTATCTGGGGTGTCTTCCTCCATCTTGGATTTTGAAATAGCAGATAGCAATCGGTCTAGATCTTGAATGAAATGTGCAAATTTCGAGAGTAGTATGTAATTCATGTGTAAGACTTGTCATGTTAATTTAGAAAATTATGTGTTTTATCATATGTATGGCTGTATTTTACAAAAAAAGAATATTTTTAGTTTGATTCCCTTTTTTTCCAACTTTGCCACATAAGGGTAGATAACTCAGATATAAAGGGACATACGATGACCTATAGTTGTTAATTTCTGTGTATTTGGGTCTATTGTGGAGAGTTGTCTCATTGGCAATCATACCACATCTTCTTTTTATTTTTATACATAACTCAGATAAAGTAACTTTTATAATAGAATGTGTTGTGAATTTACCTATTTTATTATGTAGCTAGAAAACTAGTCCGGTGACCCCATTTTTTTTTTTCTTATCTGAAAGCATATTATTAGAGCTATCTTCTCATATATTATCTTAAAATTCTATGGTGTAGTTTTCTTTTTATCACACAAAATTGTGTTCTCCATGCATGATCTATACAAAATCTGACAATATTGCACAACCTGTAGCTTGATAAAAAGCCCAGTGACCCATACTTTTTATCATATTTTTGGAAAAAGCATGATATAAACTACATTTTGACAAATTATTGAAAAATTCTATGGATTTTAATTTAGACCCCCCGATCTACCTTAAGGAGAGGTTCGAATTTTGGCGAGCCAGCTTTAATTCAATCTTATATAGCACTTCGCGCTGATGCTATGGCAACGTAACTTTATTAGTTATTATAGCCAAATATCGAATTGTCCGAAAGTAAGGCTAATTGTTAAGTTGTTTAAGAACAGAAGATTATATTATGTCCAAAGTTTTATAATAAATGTTGACCTGCTTGTGATGTTAATTTGATTCATATCTCATTAGAGATTTGTTCTATCAAAAAATGGTTAATTATTCATTTTATATTAATCTTGTAATGGTAAAGAAATGTCTTAGCAGATTACTTAAATTACTGTTGACAATACACAACTATAATTTGTAGTATTGACATTGATCCTTCAAAAAGTGAAGCAATAGTTTCCGACCTAGTGTGTTATAAAGTTTTATCAAATATTTTGTCACAATACTGTCCGAGACTTGCTGATGGAAACATTTTACGTAAATTTGATACAAATCTGGCAAAAATTGTACTTATGCGAGTGCTTATAATGCAATTTTCCATATTATTAATATTTCCAAGGGGTAAAACTCTTTGAAAAATTATTGATCGGCACTCATTTTCGAACTTGGATATAAACCTTTGATATATTTTTTTTTAACCTGGCAAGAGTTGTACATGTGAGGACAGTTACAAGACCGGACGGACAGATGGATACACAGACGGACAGGGTCCAAAGCGTCGCGCGGGGGACAGCTATTGCATAAAAATATTCACCTACACAAGACAAGCAGTTAAGAGGTTAACATAAGATTATCAGATTATCATTATTATAGCTCGTTTGATAAAACCGTTATAATATCAGATTATTACATGGCGTTTTTCATATCAGATATATTATCAGCCCAAGGTTCAATATCAGCCCGAGAGCCTTCGGCTCTCGGGCTGATAATACATCTGATATGATAAATGACATGTTATGATCTTTTTATCATATGCTTCAACAATGGAGAAAAATAACAGTTTAATATATTGATCCTTTTAAGTGGTTCTCAAGTAGAAGTTCAAAAAGTGAAAAGTTTACGGGCGCTGACGCCAAATGTTATACATCTGATATGAAATCTTTCTATCATATGCCTCAACAGAGAAGAAAAACAACAGTATAGTATATTTTTATATTCACGAAACAAAGCAAAATGAACACTGTTTGGAAAAGTCAACATTTGTAAAGTAACTTGCTAAATTATGCTGGAAACTTTGAAAAATGCATTTATTGTATCATTTGTTTTGGATTTTGCATAATATATTTTCCTGTTTCCTAATATTTGTTTTGTACCCTACTTTGTTATGTTTTTCACTGAAAACATACCATTGAGATGTATTTTCCGGAATTTGCCGAGTAACGCCAGAATGCCATGCGATAACGTTTCGGGAAGGCATGTGATAATAGCCGCAAGCAGTTGATAGACTATCAGCCCGCTAAGCACCATTTCGGAAAATATGGAATTCACATACTGTAAAAATTATAAGTTATTTACTCAAAGGATATGATAATACTACATATGCAAATATCCATCCTACCATATGGCAGCCTCGTCTGGAATGCAAGCGCAAAAAAAAATTGCATGAACTTGATGTCACTTAAACATTACAATAAAATCTTTATAAAGATGTAGATCCCTTTTTATAAAGTTAACAAAAATATAATTGAGAAGGAAAGGGATCCAAATCAACAGCTGACCTTTGAACGTTTTTTTTTCCATAAATATTATTGCTTAAAACTAACATAAAACATAAAAGAGGTATAACCAGTATGTCCTAGCTGTAATTGTTTTACTTAGAGGGTCAAAATTCAAAAGTTGGAGTAGCATAAGGGAATGAATGTGAAAATTAATCTACTAGTACTTCAAATACATACATCCATAAAATTTTAATGAATAACATTTAACCAAATGAAAATACTGCAAGCGTTAAATCTTTTTGAGAAATGTTTTTACTCAATTTGTAACAAACTTTATTATCTGACAATCACTACCAAAAATTTAGTTAACAATAGCAGGTAACTTTTTGAACCCTGACCGACAGATGTTTTATAAAGGCCAACAACGGTTGGGTACAAGACCCAGCTGACATCACTTTTACACTTCACTGGACTTTCTCGAGACAAAGAATGTTATAAATAATGGAAAACTGTAACACGAACGTATTAAACTTTCACAAACAATGACGAAATGAAAGCATATCAATGTTTTTTTGTACTTACAGCAGTATGTATAAAGCTTTGTAAAGGTGAGTAATAACTTATAATTAATTGAGGTACATAGTTTTTGCAACATAACAACTGCAAATTGACTTTGGCATGCATGGCAAAATTCAAACGGGTGTATTTACTGATATGACAGGATAGTGCATGACTGTGCTAGTTTTGGCTAGTGACATCAATTCGAACATCATTGTCCGAAATAAAAAGTAATTATTTTTAAAGAGACCCCAGGATGGTCTACCATGAAAAGACTGACCGATGGCACTCGAAGCAAACCTGTTCTTATACACATTATTGTCGAAGTTGTAGAGCATTGAGAAAGATTATTCAAAAGTATCAAATCTATATACCATTCAGTTTTTTTTTTTTTCATTTTTTGTAATAATACATAAAAATGATAACAGGAATCACAAACAAAATACTGAAGTGTACACTAAACAGATATGACCAACACCGGTCAACACCCGAATCCTCCAAACCAAACCAGACGAACGAACAAAAACAAACAAGAACGAACAACATATTGTAGAGGGTTTGTTTGGCATGCATATGGCTATATAGGCACTTAAACTTCCGACATTTAGCGTGAATTAAATTAACTTCCATATTTTTTTGGAAGGGGTGTGTCATTTTTGCCTCAAAAAATGTACCCATTTTAATATAACATTCACTGAAATTCAGTACCTTTAGTTATATAAATATTTAAGAAAGAATGACATATACTTATATACAATATTTAAGATATGACCTATGCTTATATAAGTACTAAATCTATATCATCACTCATAATTCATAAATATACAGCTACCCTTAACTTTCAAATGAATTGATTTAATTTAATATAATGATAATGTAAGATTCTCAATAGCATATTTATATATGATATATGATATGTAGATCATACCCCAAATCAATATACAGTTATCAACCCCCCCCCCCCCCCTCCAAATCGTCCAGATTGCAACCAAATTAATTAAGGCATAGGAAAGATAGAGCGCAGGCGTCGAAAAACTAAATATTCAAGTCAGATATGTAAAATGTGATAAAAAACATTTTGTTAAAAAAGGTTTTTTGTCGAAGCATGCGCTCTATGTTTCCTGTTCAAAAAATCATTGGAAATTTACCCGTTTTCATTGAATTTTCGTTGAAAATCAAAAAGTGCTATTTGTGACATCATGAATAGAACGCAAGTACGTAAATTTTCAACAAAAAGACATATTTTCTATCTAGTCATTGTATTAGCTATGATTCATTGTGATATTGGTCAATGCATCCTAATTTGAAATTGCAGCTAGAAATAGGGGCCGTTTTAGGGTGTTATCGAACCTACTCCTTTTAAGTGAAATGAGGGAATTCACATTTTTACATTCTGTCATTTTTTTTTTGGCGAATGGAATGTCAATTTAATCTGTTGCCACAAAAGCTTATTTTTTAATTCATGTTCACTTTTGTACACAATCATTGCATGCCTGCATTTTGTGTGACAGTATCTTTATTTACATCCTGTTTTGGGCAAGATTTTTTTGTTTAGGTCTGATAAAATATATTTTTCCAAAATCATCCTGTCCCCCAGAAAATCAAATGGTGATCCTGCAATTCAATATTGATTTGTTAGCGATTTAACATTGACTTATATTACTTAGTATATGAAAATAGCACTTTTCAATTTTGGTGCGTCCTAAGCCATCGTCAAACTAAGCTTATGGTAACTATAGAATTATAGTCGAAAGTATTACCAAGAGGGACGAGTACACAAATGAGTTCTCTTATATTTCAGGTATTACAGAATTTCGATGTACAAATAAAAATTCAAGTGAAGCACAAAAAGTTGCTTTGAAGTGCCCTCCAAATTATTACATCAATGTGAAGGAGGCGCTTTATGGGAGAAACCAGTGGGATGAATGTCGGTATTTTGTCGGAGACTGTACAGAAGTGTTCAATGTTGACGACCAGTGTTGTGGTAGAAACGACTGTGGTTTAGTTGTAAGAAAGATTTACTCAATAAAATGTTTGGCTTATGTATCCTTCTTCAGAATCATTTACGAATGTGAAACAGGTATGATGATTTTATAACAAACATCTTTACTTCTTTATAAACATTGAAATCCTGAATCGTTTTATAAAAAATATGAGTTAATGAGGACTTTATACGTTATGTATGCATTTTAAGATAATTACATTAATTTAATAAAAATTGTAATGAGGGGATAGACACCATTTATCATAACAGTTTTTAAATTATTGCATTCAATTTCAGTAAGATGCAGATATATTGTTCTTTGTTTAATATTTTCTTTGTATATCCAGGAACTTATTCAACTACAGATGCACTTTACAAATAAGGGTGTTATCAGGCTATATAACATATGGTTTGATGTTTCTTGTTTCTCATTGGTCACGTGTTTCCCAATATATATTTTGTATTTTTTCACTATTTTGACATATTAACTCGACGTTACTATTTTAAAAAATTATGTTGACTACATGTTACTAAAAATAGTAACATCGAGTCAATATCATTTCCAAAAATAGTAACATCGAGTCAATATCATTTTCAAACTTACACTATTTGCATATGTTATATATAAATTAAGGACTTTCACTCAGTCAATACGTTATATAGGGACCTGTTAGATTATATTGAACAATATAATCTGAACAGGTCCATATATAACGTATTGACCTCGTCAAAAGTCCATGATTGATAAACATTAATTACTTCTTGATTAATAAACTGATCATGTCTACTTGTAAACAAATCATCAAACACGAAAATAAATATGATATTGTTTTTTTTTTTTTTTTTTTAATATTTGACGTCTGTATATATATATAAAGAGTAACCGTGATGACCCAATATTCTATGAAGCATTGAATCACCATAATAAAGATGAAAAGGAACACCAGGATTACCATATACGGAGAATAGTGCATAAGGAAAATAACATTTTATAAAGTTGGTGCGTTCGAAGCTTTTCTGGATTAACCTTCATAAGGAACACTCAAACTCAAACTCAAACATCTAACAGCCAAGGACAGTGCAAAGCCAAAACAAACCAAAAACATCTGATAGCCAAGGATAGTGCAAAGCCAAAACAAACCAAAAACATCTAACAGCCAAGGATAGTGCAAAGCCAAAACAAACCAAAAACATCTGACAGCCAAGGACAGTGCAAAGCCAAAACAAACCAAAAACATCTGACAGCCAAGGACAGTGCAAAGCCAAAACAAACCAAAAACATATGACAGCCAAGGACAGTGCAAAACCAAAACAAACCATAAACTTCAAAACACTCAAACTCAAACATCCGACAGCCAAGGATAGTGCAAAGCCAAAACAAACCAAAAACATCTGACAGCCAAGGACAGTGCAAAGCCAAAACAAACCAAAAACATCTGACAGCCAAGGACAGTGCAAAGCCAAAACAAACCAAAAACATATGACAGCCAAGGACAGTGCAATGCCAAAGCAAAACAAAAACATCTGACAACCAAGGACAGTGCAAAGCCAAAACAAACCAAAAACATCTGACAGCCAAGGACAGTGCAAAGCCAAAACAAATCAAAAACATATGACAGCCAAGGACAGTGCAAAGCCAAAACAAACCAAAAACATCAAAACATCAAAACAAACAAAAAATGGAGCTCTATACAAAATCTTAATTTCATTCAAACTTCTATTCATAATATTGCATTATGTTTTTTTTTTTTTAAATTGACCATTTAAGGATATAACTAGCTTAGAATCTGAAATTTAAAACTCTATTTTACTTTCGTTAAATCACAGTGTCGATTCCCACTTTAAAGTTATAGTCTTCGCAACTTTTCGTCGACAGTCAATATGTTTTTGGTTTCTTTGGTTTTGTGTCTTGACAAAAGACACCGCAGATTTCAAAATCAAACATACTTATAATGCATTTGAAATGGGCGATGGAAAAATTTCCGCCTGTTTACCAGAAAAAAATCTAAGCTGAAAATGTGAATATACTCCACCTCCTAAACGCATTATACGCATGTCTGGTAAGTCATATAAGTAAACTATAGGTGATATATTTTTCTTTCAAGCTGAAGAATCAACATGTAGTGTAAATGGAAACACTATCAAAGAACCTGGAAAAGACATAATCAGAGAGCAATCGAACGGACTTTCTCCTACGTCCCCTGATTTTGTAAATCCAACATCAAACTCGACAGCTGTATCAAAAGGTAGTTTTCTAAACTTGACCGCATAAGTATGTCATACATACATGTAGTTCTAAAATGTGCAACAACACAAATAAAGAAAAACAATAGATAATGAATATATTAATCAATTCATATTTCGAAAACAAATATGCATGATCAGATATATCAGTATGCATGGAGAACCAAACATATTATTCGCCGCTAGTAATCTTCAACGTTCAATTAGATGATAACTGTTTTCACAAAGATACGTACTTTCACGTTCAGAGTCACAAGAAAAGGTAAGGCCAATATTCCATGAAAATATTTTGCACCAGGGACATTTTTGAAGTGGTTACTGAAATTCACAGTTCGAAATCTTTATACAAGTACAACATTATAGCCATGGTTTTCTTGAAACTCCTTAAAATTGTTGATTCTGAATCTTTGATCGACAATATTCACCTGACAACTGTGGCTACCTCAGCTACCTTTCTACAACTAACTGTAATTTTTTCCTTGCTCGAGTAAGTGGTTAATATCTTGTTTTGTAACTGGATTCCTGGTTTTATTTATTGTGTGTTTTAGAGACACTTGCTCTTTATATCTCAGCCATCGATAGATCCCATCTTCTTTATCGGTGCGAGAGAAGTTCCACGCCAAAATTTGATTGAAAACATATCGCATGTACTTTTATCAATAGAAGACAAAAAGGTTCAACAAATAAATGGAAATCGTTCAAGGTCACTTTACTTATGAAATTACTACAATTTCACTATTCACAATTTGACAATATAAAATGAATGTAGTATTTAAGATTAAACATTTTTTGTAGATGTTTTTATCATTGTCGGTTCTGCAGTCACTGTGGCCTTTCTATTAGCAGCTATTACAGCAGCAATTTTCTTTCTAAGGAAATACCAATGGTATGTATTCACAAATTTACTGTTACCACTGTTACCTTCTAGTGATTGTTTTTCTAATGAAATACTAATGGTATGTTTTCACGAATGTACTGTTATCCTACAGTGATTTTATTTCTGAAGAAATAACAATGGTATGTTTTCACAAATGTACTGTTACGTACAGGGATGTTCTTTCATAGGAAATACCAATGGTATGTATTCATGAATGTATTGTTACCATTTAGTGTTTGTCCTTCTTGGGAAATACCAATGGTATGTATTCACGAATGTGCTGTTACCCTACATATTTATTGTAGCAGTGATTTGATTTTCTTTCTAAGAAAATATCAACGGGATGTACTAACAAATGATACATTTTGTTTGTACATTCGCAATTCATAAAATAAGTATTATTGATGGCAGTTTTGGGATCACACATAATCATTAAAGATGATTATAAGATTATGATTTCTAGCAATAAACACGATTTTAAGTTCATTTTTTAATCATTCATTCATTTTTTTTGTATTAGTTGCAGTCATGTTCGATGACATAAAGGGTCATCTACCACAAGAAAAAAAAAACATGTGCTTCATTAAACTAAAGTCCTTCACACTATTTTTAGCATCATTTTGTATATATTCATGTAATTTTTCTTAAACTAAGGTTGCAACTCCCCCAGACAAAGTTAACCTAATTGATTTGTTTTGGTTGTTCTATTTAGGCCCCTTTCGGTTTTTATGCATTGAAACGTTTGATATATTTTTGGCTTTTCAATCTCCTGGTCACGAATGTACCTGATGAAAATTATTGTAAAACACGGGTTGTGCACGCGACAGTACAAGCCTATTCAAGACAAACATGCAAATGTGATGTTAATGTGAATCCTGTTTTGTGCTAGACCGACAAATCGAGCCGCTTTTTTACGTATTATTTCACAAGGTAACAGTTCATGCCCTCTACCCAGAATAATTTTTATTAACCGATCAATACATGCTGTTTCTCCAAATTGCCACTACGCATGGCATGTATTTAGTGGAAGGGCAGTACATACCAATTTTCAAATGTTTGATATATCATAAGCCTCTCTCATTATTTTTTAACAACTTTTCACGTATTGACATATCCCTTTAACATTTATGATTGAAAGCAAGAGATCCGTGTGATATCAAGAGATTTCGTCCAGCTTCACATGTTTCTTTCTGGCCTAGCAAACAGCACTTCAAAATAGACTAGTAAAATTCAAGAGCCGTTCCCACAACAAATATCGTCATTTAAACACTGTGCTCATTAACTTTAAATTGAGGGATAAAGGACAAATGGTTGAAAAATATGAATCAGAATACACACTATACAACTGAAAATGACTAAATATACTGTTGAAAAAAGTAATATTGTTTTAATTTCTTATCTTAAATGGTTTTTTTTCGGTCACCATCATTACTGTCTTTATGAAAAAGGAAACTACTTAAACAATTTGTTTATTTCAATCAGGCATGGTGAAAAGCAATGTCTTCTGGAACTATTTGTGGGACTTTTTAAGCGTCATCCTCCAGATGGATGTGATTATCCGAAAGAAACAAATGTTAACATGGGAGATAAAAGTCCTTCCAACGAGATCCAACAGGTTGTTACCATAGAAACCATTACAAATGCTGGCACAATAAATATAAACAACAAAATTAAGAGTCAAAGACCAGCCAATCAACTAGATACAATACCGTATAACAGCATAAAAACATGTGAGAAAACAAACCCACACATTGCTGACTGTGTTATTACTGATGATCCTGTATATGGTGAAAAAGTTCAAAATGTTCAGATCAACAATATATGTTATGACAGTCAATCAATCCATGGAATGCATTCTGTGCATTCAACAGCAGAAGGTATTTTTACTGATGTGTAACATCAGATCAACACTAGAATAATCTGAGTACAGCATAATTTGATTCAACAGTATGCTACCTTCAACTTATTGGGTCACGTGTCCGGTTTACTGAAGGTTTCAATATTGAAGTCATGACATTTATTTAGCATTTACATCTTGCCATTTTTAGTGATCATATGTTCCAATGAACCGATGCCTTAATCAAAGACTTGTTGTGAATAGAATCAGGTTGATCTAATGTGAACAAGCAAACTAACAAGCTTACTACATGTTCGGCGTCATTCTCTTTATTTTAAATGTATCTAATTGCTCCTTTTAGATTGTTTTTTATTGCATGTGTAAAGGTGTAAAGGGGGTATTTTTACAACAAGCTTGCCACTTCTTGTGTCATGTTCTCGTGCTTGAAGAATTATTTTTCGTTCAAAATAAATCTTGAACACTATCGTATACTACACAGAATATCAAAGTTAATGTTTGTTTGATTATCAAATAGACATGACTTACTGTTCAGTGGTTGTCGTTTGTTGATGTGGTTCATAAGTGTTTCTCGTTTTTTATATAGATTAGACCGTTGGTTTTCCTGTTTGAATGGTTTTACACAAGTCATTTTTTGGGCCCTTTATAGCTTGCTGTTTGGTGTGAGCCAATGCTCCGTGTTGAAGGCCGTACTTTGACCTATAATGGTTTACTTTTACAAATTGTGACTTGGATGGAGAGTTGTCTCATTGGCACTCATACCACATCTTTTTATATCTATGACTTACTGTCCAATTTGGTATGATTGCAACTAAGACAAATCTCCACCAGAGACCGAATGGCGTAGAAGTTTAAAACAACTGTATGTCACCGTTCGGCCTCCAACAATGAGCAAAGCGCAAACCGCATAGTAAGCTATAAAAGGCCCTAATATGACAAATGTAAAACAATTCAAACGAGAAAACTAACAGTCTGATTTATGTACAAAACAATAAACAAGTATGATATACAGCAACAAACGACAACCAATGAATTACAGGCTCCTTTATAGTTTCTGAGACTACGTAAGCCTTTTTTTTCCTGCTGAAGTCTGCTATTACTTTATTGATTTTTATTGATAAGATATGAGCCTAACTGTAGATATCCTATAAATTAAATGAGTCTCTTATTTCACCAAATCATAAATGTGTAAACTGTTATTGCCCTTTGAGGGGCTCTATTTTGTTTTTTTTTTCATACTTATCACACTGCACAACACATTATGGTATGACTGTTACTATAAACAAATATTTCATGGAGGAAAAAAAACGCATATTATACAATATATATATATATATATATTCATAATAACAATAGCAAACAGTACTTATAATGTAAACATGATTAGATGTGTTATGGTTGCCAATGAGACAACACATAATTGAATGATTATTCAGACCTTGAAATCATCTGCTGTAATGATAACTTTCTTCTGTCATACCGAATAATAACAACTGTTGGCCCTAGAAATGCAAACTGGGATGAAGGTTTTACATTTTTTAGTTGACAATAATATTGTTCATTATGACAAGATATATTATGCTTAAATTATCAAAATACCTATGGATACTAATTATGCACCTCCAATTGCAGATCATTTTCTTTATTGTAAGGAATCTTTTTTCAAGGAAAAAACCATAGAAAGGGAAATTTAAAATTCTGACACTTAAATCGACATTTCAGCAATACATGTATAGTACTTTTTCTTGCCCTTTTGAAACTTTCCGTCCGTTTAACGCTGCGAGTTTGACCAAACCGACGTTGCTCGACTTTATTAACCTTGTTACGATGTTCAGTGGGTTTCTGGTAGATACATGATTTATTACAGAGTCAAGGTCGAGTTCTCTATCATAAATTTTATATTTGATTATTCTTAATTAATTGGACATGAACTACGAATATAACAAAAAAATCAAAATATTATTTTTTTTGTTTTAAGAATTTATAAAAGCAGAATATAGAAATGATATTTCGCTACTATCAGTTAGTTTAATTCAATTTCGTCAAAATAAGCTAAATAAAATAGCTGCTGTATAATTGGCTTGCAAGTCAACTGTTCAAGTCATTTGAATCCGTATTCACACAACCTTTAATTTTGCCTTTAGTGGTGATTGGTTGTGCGTGTGTTCAGCATGTGGTTCGGTCATATTGAAAATAAAAAGAATAGATATAGGAAGATGTGGTATGAGTGCCAATGAGATAACTCTCCATCCAAGTCACAACCCATAAAAGCAAACCATTATAGGTCAAGGTACGGCCTTCAACATTGAAAATTGAAACAAAGGAGCCACCATGAATAACAATTTCGCTGACTGACCCATCTCACAAAAAATAATTCTTATACAGGATTAACGATGGTATACATATACTTTTAATCTAGAACAGGAAACCAAACAGACCTAGAAAAATCTTCATTATACGATTGCGCGTGCTTGATTGTTTCTTTATATTTATGTTTATATCGGGTCGAATGACCGCTGGTAGTCTTCAGAGGTCGTCTCGATGGATAATTAGATGGCGTTTAGTCTAAAATACGGACAAAATGCTGATACATTACAAAGAGTCCATGCATAGTTAATTGTTTAGTATATATCATAAATCAAACATGAGAATTTGGGTCAAATCGGTGAACATGAATTTGACAGCTAATGCACCTTTTTTGGTATTTTTGTACCCACCACCAGAAAGTGTGTATTACTAGTATACTAGTATAACAAGATTAAACAATTATCATTTTGTGAACTCTGCTCACAGTACCTCAGTTTGGAAAAGGTAAGTAATTCTAGAAAATAATTCCATCCTTAAGGGACATTAATAACTTTTTAATATATTTTTACACTAAAAGATAGTGGGATCAAAAATTAGAATAGAAAATGATAACAGAAATATAGTGTTTAATTATTTAAAAGTCAAGCGAGTAAAACACGGATCTGTTAGTATGCACCCCAAAATGAAACTAACACTTTCAGTTGCTGTGGTTAGCACTGTGCGATTTGAACTACACATATTCGTTGATCCCGTCTGGTGTCGACGTTTTAAATTTTCTAATCCAAAATCTTTTCCAAGTGATCTCTCCTTCTTTGTGGTCCATGATGGTAATAGTCACTCGATTTATATCAGCCTTAGTATGGTCAGAGGGTCTGGCATGTCGACTGAGAGGAAGGTATGGCTTAAATTCAGTCACTGCGACGGCCATTCATACGTTTGTAAAATGGTTGTTCTGACTCACTAACATACTGTTTACCACATTTATACTGAAGAGGATACACGGTATGTGTAGTCTTGCAAGTAACAAAAATGTAAAATATTATGTATTACGTACCAGTGGAGTGACTGGGTATGCAGTATTTGCTTGCAAATCGGACATCGTTTGTTTCCACAGCCCTTTCAATAACCTGCTGACGAAGAGCCTGGTTTAGAGGATAAATCAGCCTTCACGAGCAAGGTTTTTGGACCTACGGAAAGCGAGTTCGTGGAAGATCTTAGACGGTTAAGGACGTTTTACTTCTGTTTATTCAACAACAAATATAGGGTTCGACATAAAAAAAAAGATGATTGACTGGTACACAAGTATGAAAAAAGCTTTATCTTAATTGCATGGTTTGGGTTTTTAAAAAATTGCAATAATTCTGAATTTTTTGTAGTGATTATACAACAGAATACTCCTCTACTAAGTATTTATAATAAAATGTGTACAGGTTTAAATTTCTTTCATTTAATATTCCGATAACACTTTAAAGTAAACAAAAAATAAAATCGCGCATTGAATGTGTTGTAATTTATCACTTATTGTTTAAAACTCCCTGAGAAAACATGATTACAACGCCAATCAATAAAAATATATCACATTGGTCTGCGCACCACTAAGCAGGTAGGTCAAACATATTTTCTCTGCATGAAAATTTATCCTGTAAAAAAATATCAGTTGTGTGACACTATTAAGCTGCTAATTTTGAATATGACTGTATGATACCGTTTCGTATGTTATATTTTACTTTATTTTCTTTTAAATCTACTTTCGTTGGTTGAAACACGTCATGTGACTGAAAAAAATATGTATATAATTGATTTTCAAAATGGACGTGAAGATAATATCCCGTCTGGTATTGTTACCCGCAAAACATGACAATCTGAGGGGCAAAACCCTGTACATAAGTATGAATATGACAGTCTGGATGGGGGTTTACAGAATAGAGAATAATGGGCTAATATTATAAAGAATAGAGAAAAATTGACCAAAAACATAAAGAATAGAGAATAATGGGGTGCTAAAATATAAAGAATAGAGAATAATGAGCAAAAATTATAAACAATAAAGAAAAATGGGCAAACAATTTTAAGAATACAGAAATGATGGACCCCCATCCATACCTTCTCATATGACTGTAAACCTTATTCACGAGTTCTGTTGTTCTCGATCCTTTCAGGAATATTTTTGTTTATTGCTTTGCTTTTCTAATTTTTCAATATTATTATAATAGTGGAAAAAAAGTAACTTCGCATAAAAAACATACCTTTTCACAAACCTAAGGTTTTCGGTTATAATGGGTCAAAATCTTGATCAATTAGCTCATGGTCGTGACAAAATCAAGACAGCAAAATCTTACCGGACAGGAAAAGAATTTTGCTTCCGATGGCAAGTTAGAACGAAAATGATATCGCTTAAAATCAATACATCTGTTACATAAACAAGAAAATGAGAAAGAATGTAAAATGGTCCTGAAGTGTTTTTCTAGCGGTAACATGACGCCAAAAGTCACCAAACAGAATGTGTGTTCATGGTTCGAGGTTGAAAACGAGGGACCTCACACCTTCCAAGATTATGTAAAAACATATATTTGTTCAATTACTTAAAATACTTAAATTTCGAACATGTAAAGTTAACGTTTGAAATATTTGCCATGATTATATTGAGAGTTGCACAGTTTCTTTTTTTTCCGGTATCATACACGTGGAGTAGGACTAAGTCGCGTTTGATCAATATAATACTGTTACTGATGCAAGTTCTGAATTAAGTTGAATGTGAAAGAGTTGTTGGTTAAGAACTACTTGTCCTTATACTTTTTGGGGGATGCATACTCAAAACAGGCCAAAATCTATCAAAATTGCAGAAAAAAATAACATATTAATCAATAATTGTTAAACGACTTTAGGGTAAGGACATGTCGATTCATACAACTAATGTTTTTGAAAATAATTTTCAGGGCCATTGATATTTTTATGCTGAATCAAAAATGTCCAAACACATCTAAATAAAGGAAATAAGCTGAAATTATATAGATATATATTGAATATATATATATATATATATATATATATATATATAATATTTTCCTTCGGGTTTATATGATCCGTTCATCCTATTTCGACTCTTTAAAATTCAAGAGTCTATCCTAAATTGAGGTAAATTTTATGGCCTTCCAAATACCGTTTCGATCCCTAACATCACTGAAGAGACATTAATTGTCGAAATCCGGATATGGTGTACAAATTTTTGCACCTCATGTTTGTGGTATACCATCTTTTCCACAAGTTTATTGTTTTCTGTTTGGTAGTAAATTAATATTAAAGATCCACTTCGTTAGATCTGGTGATCAATTTAGTTGGCAATCGCCAATGGCAGTCAGCAGGGTTTAAGAACATCAATTGTTCGACCTGTTAGTCAAATGCGTTTTGTTAAAATAGACTTTTTCACCTTTTTTGGTCTTTTGGAAATTGTTGTTTGTGCTGTATTTAGACCCCTCTACCAAGAAATTTGTTTTACATGCACACGTATAAAAATTGCGGTTTTTATCCAACGCAATCATAGGTTTGAACATTGTTTTCAATTTAGACTTTTATATATATATAAAACATTATCAAATAGGACTACAGGGGTTCATTTCCAAATTGCAAGCGCTTGATTTATAAACACATCTCCCAAAACACGCCTGGTCGATAGTTATTTGAGAACATATATAATCCAAATCACTACTTTACTTCCTTGTATCAGTAAGTGTATTAAGAAATGTAAACTACTAACCCATATCAACTGTACTTCCTAGTGTCTATTAGTTTGCCCTTTAACACTTTTTAAAACACATGTAAAGCAAATCA